CCATCTCAACGTGCTCGTGGACAAGAGTGTCTACGGCAGAATCTACATCTACTACATCTAGGAGGCAAGCCACCGTCGGGCGGGCATTCCTTTACATTCACATTACCCCCCCCTTTTTCGAGGCTTCTTCTTGTTTTCTAGGCAAGAAAAGTCTTCTTGGGGTAACCGGAACCCGACTGGCTGGCGGCGAGTAGAACCCTCTTTTTTTCCAACAATCTTCTGTGCGTGTGTGCGAGTGCACCACTTTAGCCACGCATTGCCAAAAGTTTCGAGTTCGATAGACAATGCATCGTTTCTTGGCCCACCCACCGTTTTTTTTTTTTTCCGCAAGAAAATTAGGTGAGCAGCGGATTTTGAACCCGTGTCTTTTTGCAACCAAAAGCAGACACCTGCGGCGAACGACGTACCCAACTGATGATGTTGTCGCACCCTGTGTTCCCGTGTTCCCTTTTCCCTGCCGTAAGCTGTATGCTCTTAGTATTGCCTCCGGCCTCTCTTTGTGCTTTTCTTCTTTCTTTCTTTCTTGTTCTCCATGCCCTCTCTACGATGATCTTGGACGATACCTCGAGCTCCTTGTTATTTTTGTTTTTTCCTTTGCTGGCTGCCTGCCACCTCTGCTGCCTCTTTGGTGCGGTGCCTACCCTACACTAATGCGCTGGTGCATACTGCACTGCTGTAGTACCTGGTACTGGTGTACGTTGTCCTTCGATTTTTTATTTTTTTTTTGGGAATATATATGTGTTTGTTTTTCGCCCCCCGTCTTGCTGCACCCCCTGGGGTGTGGTGCAGGGCGGGGGATGCCTGGTCGGCGGGAACCCGGCACGGAACCCTCCGGCGTTGTAGGCGGGTGTGGGAAGCGTTCCCCGTTCTCCTTTTATTTTATTTTGATCGGTCTCCTCGACGCTCTTTCTCGTTTGGTGCGGTAGCTGGTCTTTCTTTCTATCATTTTGTTTCTCTTCCGAGTGGTTTTTGTACCCTATTTTTTTCTGTTTCTTCGTGGGGTCGTGTATGCCGGGTTTTGAGACCACGGGCTCCCAATCTTTTTTTTTTTTAGAGCTAATGTGAGAAACAACAACAACAAACAACAACAACCTGACATCTCTTGTCGACGCCATTGTGGAAAAAAGGGTTTCGTCCTCGACAGACGTTGGGGAGTTTCAACGTTTATGAAGATGTTCTCCACATAAGATAGATTAGCAGTGAATCCATTGCGTGAGCGAAAGGTTACCTGTATGTCTACGGTTTCCCAGACAGCATACAACGATATCTCCCCTGTGGGTAACAGGCTCAACAAGGCAGTTTGGTGGCCATTTTGTGCATCTATCTGTATGTTATGTTGGGAAGTTGTAGACGGAAGATTTAGGGGAACTCGGTTTGTCGGGTGTTTGTTCTATTATGGCACCCTTATCTTTGTTTTTTCCACAACAGCAGCCGTGTGTTGAGATCCGTGCTGTTCTTCACCATGTAACGCTTTTCGTCGGTGCGTGACAAGACGTCAGTCTGCGAAGCTACTTTTGAGGGAGAATTAGCAAGAGATGGGTCATGATTCAACCCCGCCTACACGAGCTACGCACACAGGCGTGCGTCATACAAAGCAGCGTTCCCACCTCAAACGTTTTCTGTAGACTGCTCCTCCCGCATACGACTAAACAGGGGTGTCCCTGTCTCGGTTTTGAGAAAAAGCACACCGAACGGTCTTTCGACTACAGCACAAGAACAACAACAACAACAACAACAACAACAACAACAATACCACCGTTTCCATTGGCCTGTACGGGCTCATAAATCTCCCTTTCTTTTCTGGGCTCATTGTTGTGTCTGGGCAAACACTCGTTCGGTTTTTCGCAGGGAACCGCCGGTGCCTGGACGCCTTTGCCGTCGCCTTGAACCAAGCGTGCGAGGGAGGGCGACTGCGCTGGTACTGGTCTACAATGGAGCTACAGCTGGTGTCACTAGAATTCTGCAGAGCTGTCCGGAGCGTTCCAACCTTTCACGTTCGCGTCACCCGTGAAATTCCTCGCAGCCTGTGGGCTACGGCCGCACCTGGCGATGACGCCTCGTCCCTAAGTGAAGACAGATCGGATAGTTTTCCGTCTAGCCGAGTGCCGCTCTTGCGGGCGCTTCGTCTGACATGGACGCTTCCGATGAAGGACCTGCCGCAAAGCGCCGTGGTCGAGCTTTGGAGGTTGGTGGAGTCCTTATCGCTCAGGGGGGGTGACGCGGAATGCACTCTGGAATCGGTGGGGTGGCCTCGCGGGCTCAAGCACCTGACAATGGACACCGAGTGGCAGGTGCCAGTGCAAGGGGTGTCGTGGCCATCCGGTCTACGAGCGCTGTCGTTTGGAAACTTGTTCGACCAGCCAGTAGCAGGCATTGCGGGCCGGCGTGCCTGCAAGAGCTATCGTTCGGGGATGGTTTCGACCAGGCCATTGCCGATGTCGTGTGGCCCACCTCCCTGCGACGGCTATCATTTGGAGGCTGTTTCAACCAGCCTATTGCCGAAGTTTCGTGGCCGGTCTCCCTCGAACATTTGTTTTTTGGGGACAAATTCAACCAGCCAATTTCCGGCGTGTTGTGGCCGGCCTCCTTGCAAGAGCTCGAGTTCGGGTATCGCTTCAACCAGCCACTGGCCAGCAATGCATGGCCGGAGTGCCTGCAACGGCTATCACTCGGTCTGAGTTTCGACCAGCCGATCTCTGAAGTCATGTGGCCAGCCTCTTTACAAGAGCTTGACCTAGGGCATGAGTTCAACCAGCCAATCACCGGGATCATCTGGCCAACTTCCCTGCAATGTCTCGTCCTAGGATATCGTTTCAACCAGCCAATCGTTGATTTCGTGTGGCCGACTTCCCTGGCATATCTCGAGCTAGGACATGAATTTAACCAGCCAATAGTTGGTGTCGAGTGGCCGACTTCCCTAGGAAAACTCGGGCTAGAACATCACTTCGACCAGCCCATTGTCGGAGTCGTGTGGCCCGTCTCGTTGCATTCCCGTGGGTTAGGGAATTGCTTCAACCGGTCAATCACAGGTGTCGAGTGGCCGACTTCCCTGCTACGGTCATCATTCGGGCACGCGTTCAACCAGCCTGTTGCCGAAGTCGTGTGGCCGGAATTCCTGCAGCGGCTAACTTTTGGGAACGACTTCAACCAGCCAATCATCGATGTCGTGTGGCCGGCCACCCTGGAGCGCCTATCCTTCGGGAAGTGCTTCAACCAGCCGGTTGTCGGCGCCGCATGGCCCGCCTCTCTTCGAAGGCTATCGTTCGGGAGATGCTTCAATCAACCTATCGTCGGGGTTGTGTGACCGGCCACCCTGTATTCCATATTTTTCGGTTCGGAATTCAATCAGCCCATCCACGCCGGTGTCGTTTGGCCGGAATCCCTCCGGCGTTTGGTGACGGCAAGCACCAGGGGTCTGCTGTGAGCACGTTAGAGGCCTTTCCTTCGGATTGTGTGACTGCTGCCATCTACAGCAAGCGTAGGAAGGGGCCGTGCCAAGTGACCGGGCTCCGCGTGCACGCTTGGGCATTAAGTCTCGATGAGCAACCTGGCGTGTCGCATCACAAGCGGTACATATGTGTGTACATGCTTCCCTTTTTGTTTCTGCGAGGCGAGCGGCGGTTGCTCTCATTTTTCGTTGCGTGAAACACGTAGCACGTACGCGGGGGGGTAGGGTAGGGTAGGGTAGAATGCGATTTGAACGCAAATCTTGTACTGACCAAGGCTCCGCAACACACAGCAGCGACATTGGTTTTGACAAAGCCAGACACTGCTGATAATGCTGCGTTGTGTGAGGTGATGCTTGATTCTCCGCTCTTCCAGTGGCACTTTGCGATGCGCCAGAGAACTTTCGGGTGGTGTAGGTTTGCATCTGTGGTATTTCGTGGGAGAAAATACCGTTGAAACGTCGGGAAAGAGGGACGGGAATGGAGGGGGGAGATACGAGAATGGGTGCCATATTGTTGGTGGTTTGGTGTGTATACCCAGCTTTCGCAGCGGAGGGTGGAGGGCGTTTTCGAAAATACACCTTGTTGGAGAGGTGGAGCGACATTCCTCTGAATAGGTTGCTAAGGAAACGACGAAAGGTGCATGACGCACGACAAGGTCCCTCGCTGACTAGTCTAATGGTGTAACTTTACCTTACAAAAGATATAAGCTCAGCTCGTTGGCACCCGGCTGGATCACTTGGGTTTACAAAGGATACCCGCACGAGTTCAAATACCGGCTGGATCACTTTTCTTGACAACAAAAAAAAGTGCACCTAGAACTATCAGCGTCTGGCGAGTGGTCCGTCCCCGGAGATCCCTGTTCTCAATCCTAAGCCATTAAAAACCCAAGTGATCCTGCCGCATGCTAGTGAGCTGAGCGTATATCTTTTGTAAGATAAAGTTACACCATTAGACTAGTCAGCGCTGACTAGTCTAATGGTGTAACTTTATCGTACAGTCCCTTTTGTGCATCAAGCCGTTTGAGACCTTTGCTAAAGAGTGTCACGTGTTGCTTGCAGAAACAAGACGTCTGATCTGATCACCAGCTTAGGTCCAGCTTTGAAACACGTTTGTGTGTTCGTGTGTTGGCGTGGGAGGCTTAGAAATATTGGTTGTGGCGGTTTGTTTGGCTTAGAAATATTGGTTGTGGCGGATTGGTTGTGGCGGTTTGTATTCCGCGGATCTTAAAGGTATCTTGCTAGAGACGAGTCACTAGACCTCGTCCTATAGACGTGTGCTTCTCCCTCTCTCCGTTCGGTGATCTAATGCCCGTGGCTAGCCAAACTCTTTTTGGTCGAGTACACATACATGCGCATATTAGAGTCGAAGTTTATGGCGTGTTGTTGTAGAGCCTGCGACGCAATTCCATGTCAACCCTCAGCGGCGCGATATTGTAGGTAGGAAGTACAGCAGTGTAAGCAGATTTTTGCCCTAGTGTTAAGGAGGACCCGATTCGCAGGATATCCGTCGATTGACTTTTACCTGAATCGGTACACCTCCGCATAATATGGCGTCAGCAGGATTCTGGTTCGAATCTCCTTGGGTGCACAATTTTGCTCCTGACGTGGATATTTTCCCACAGACACAATGTGTGTCAGTCCTGAGAACACCTCTTGGAGTCGATCCTACAAAGAACCTTGTGACACTTCCATCGAATTACCCATCCTGGCCACAAGAGGTTCCCAGTTGAGGGTAAATTCTGTGGGTGGAGAGTGTTGAGGAGGACCCGATTCGCATGGTATCCGCCGATTGACTTTTACCTGAATCGGTACACCTTCGCACTAGGGACATGACCAAGCCAACAAGTAAGGCCTCGAAGCGGAGGTTTCTGATGTACTACGTCCTTCCTAAATGTCCAAAATTTCCCCGCCCACCGACACATAAAGTTGTGTAGTCGTAACGGTACGGCTACTACTTAAATATTCCTAGGGAAAAAGCCCGAGGAGAGGGGATGGTCCACCTTGCGACGGAAGGGCCTATACCTATCTATCTACTACGTTGTCAATGTCATTGATAGTCCACGGTCCTTTCTAAGGATTAGCTATCCGTGCGCCGTCACGCCGTGCATCTGTTATTTGGGGGGTGCTATCGATGTTTGCATCCTTCTTCCACCTTCAAATAAGTACAACCTGCCTGGGAGTCCATTTCAAAACAGACGATGTTACGAGAAACACTAGTCTACACTGTAGCATACACCCTCACTGTCCGGTTGGAGTTTTCCCCCCTGCCCCCCAAGTCTCGTGGCCCAAAGTGTGGTGCAATATTTGGCAATGCTGCGTAAATTACAACTCAAGCCTGTCGAGCAGCTCTTCTTGCAAATTATGTATAAGATATAATAAATAAAGTATAACTAGCGTTGCAAATGTAAGTTTTGCAATCTCTTGACAGACAGGGCCGGTGCACCGAAGGAGGAGCGTTAACACCGAGGACGCGCCGCTGTCGGCGTGAAAGGCGGGAGAGGCCACAGGCTACAGAACGTGTAGGAAAATCTCGCTGGAGGTCTTCCGGCGTTTCTCGGCGTTGATCAGGTCCTTTGCGCCGTTGTGAAGGCTCATCAGGTGGTATGTACACACAAGTGAAGACATGGAGATTGTTGACAAGTCGCCCGCGGCCTATCGACTCGCCTTTTCGCACGGTGTGGCATTGCGATGAACGATCGTTGACGATGAAGGCAATGGGCGAACCGCGCTCGAGAGTTTTGGACAACAAGCCATATACTACCTCCATCGACGCTGAAGACTCCAGCAACAACGAGGGAAAATCTGGTAGCGTTGGGCGCGGGGAGATTGTGCCACGTCTTCTTGGGGCGCACGGGGTCCTCGCTGATGCTGTGCCTTCCGACGGCGGCATGCTGCGCGTACTCTGGCTGCTCCGAGATACACACGTGCAGTCGTGAATTGCCACGTAGGTGATATGCCCACCTCCACAACTCCGTCCGGTGAGAAGTCAAACTTGCCGTTACTCATCGCCTTTGTCGTTTTGGTAAGAATCGCCGTCCTCTGGATCCACCATGACAATATGTATATCCTCCCCGCTGTTGTCACCCTCGGCTAAGTCCGATGCGGTGTTATGGTTGAAGGGACACGGCAGAAGAAGGGGCGGTGCTACCATCCAAAGCTTTACATAGGTAGCATCTTCGCACACCGAGTGAGCTCACACCGGTACATTGCACGAAAGAAAGCGTCGGTCGGCGGTCGGCGGTCGATCCGCACCGTCGGTGACACGTTAGAAATCATCCGCGTGCCCCCTCCACGGCCCTCTTTCCGCGCCTTTTCCGTATGTCGCGATCAACCAACACACCTTTCCTGTGGCACTTGGTGTGTTCTCTCCCCCAGGCCCAGTCTATCCAACAGCAGTAAGGCCTGTACCCTCGCACATTGAATCATGGCCGAACCAGTCAAGGAAGCGGACGCCGGAGTGGCTGTGCCTGTGGCGGCAGCGGAGAAGCAGACGGAAGCAAAAGCGGCAGCAACAGCACCAGCACCTGCGACAACGGTGCGACTCACGGACGATGAGTTGCTCGTCAAGCACTTCCCGCGGTACTTCTTTGACGAGAAGGAGACGCTGTTCCCCGTCGACCTCAACAGGTGGATGCTTCGCTATCAGCAGTCGTGTGTCTACTGTATGTACCTGTGAAGCATTTACCGCTGTACTTCGAAGTAGTATATTCAACCGGAGACTTCAGGGTATGGGGTGCGGCGGGGTAACCGGGAGTTACTGGTATTCAGCAGTAACGTGAAGTGTTGCGCGTGCGCTGTTATCATTCGGGGTGGGCACACAGCGCAAGGGATAATTCAAAAGGTAGGGCACAGCTACAGGAGAAACATACACGGACGTTTGGCCTTTTGGAGAAGAGAAGACATGAAACCTTTACACCCGAAAAGCGCGCGACTTGGCGGGGTCATCCCTCGGTCGGCATAAAATCAAACGAGGGTTGCGCTGTTACTGCTGTACGATAGCAGCGGCGCACATCGCTTCGGAAAAACCAACAGCCCGCGCGCCTTCTTTGCCAGCGAGGGGGAGTAGCGGAAGACTCGCTCGAGAATATCCCGCTCTCGATGGTGCCCGTTGGGAGGGGAACTACACCTTTTGCGCAGAAAATTCCCGAGCACGGGGTTGAAGCAGCCCGCTCCGTTTGCTCCTGTTCTGCCGTGTAACGGCTGTAACGGTTTTGTCTCCCACGACACATCCCCTCCGACTGCTGTATAGAGACTACTTTTATACAGCAGTAGAGGTCCCTGTTTAGTGCCGGGGTGTGCGCAGAAAATTCACCGGCACTATACCGGACACCAGTACCAATGCGTACTGCTAGCATCACTCATAAAAAAAATCAGTTTGTAGGCTTCAATAGACCAAATAAGCCCAGTACCCAGCCGGTCCCTCCATTCACTGTAAAGACTTCTCAACACATCCCGTTTGACTGTGGTCATATCTCGAATGGGTCGTCTTTCTGGGTTTGTATTTATGTTTCCTGGTGCTGTTATACCGTATATGACATAAGATAAGACACCCCCTTGACCAATTTTCGAAGCTCGATATCTCAACTGCAGGAACAGTCACAGCGTCGAAAACGGCGGCATTGAAACCGTCTCGTCGAGAGCTTTTCGAAAATGTGTCGTCGTTTTTTCACCCTCTTCGTCGTGGTGTAATCGAGCTCTGAAGATCGGTCCAGGGGGTGTGTTATCTTGTGTCATATACGGTATGCATAAGAGTGCCTGAATAGTGCCAAACCGGCGCTCCTTGGGGTCCGCAGAACCATTTTGGGTTTTCATGTTTACAATCCCTCGCACGTACCACACCGGCACTTTGGAAGAACTGCTTGATTTCAGGGTGCAGCGCTTACGCTTTGCGGAGCCAACAGAGCACCCCATGAATCGTAAATGGGGGAGGTGTGGCGTGGGCAGACTGTGTGTCACGATACAGTACGTGCGAATATTACCCTGTCGAAAGTTAACTGGGCGGGACAGACGCGTAGTTCAAATGTCGCGTAAACCTTGCACATAACTTGCCCCACAGCGATGGCACTGGCCTTACACGGACCAATTACCCGACAGCGAAAGGAAGACACTCACTTATTCAGCCGATGCATCTCTTGCGGAAATAACAATGTTTTGAAGCTCATATGTATACTATACTTCCTACTAAATGGTAAAAAGGGAGCAAAATCTCATCCTCCTTGCACTCCTTCGATGTGGCGAGAGCAGCCAAAACATGTGTTTTTTTTTTGTTTTTTTTTTGTCTTCACTTCAAATCAGCGCTCACAGCACTAGTGCCGTTCGCTCCTACCCGTGGTCACACAGAAAGGCCCCTCTCTACCCTGCCCTCCTGCGGTACGTTTGCCTTCGATTTTTAATGCGAGAAGAGTTCAGCACTCTCTTCCCTCTGTGGACACACGAACTAGCGCTATCCACTAGGCCAGGAGCGGAAGCAAGAGAAAAACTCACTTTGCAAGGAAAGCTCGCTTGCGCCGGGATTCGAACTCCTGACCTGACCTCTAGAGGGTGTCGAGGTTACCAACTATACCACCGGGGCGACCGGTAAACATGTGTGTGCGTGGATGATTAATAGCACCGATCGCGCTATATCCCGCTGAGCGATGAAAGACGTCGTCAGTCTCAGTGCGAAAACATAAAATTAGTGCTACCCAAGCCCATGATGTGGGACCCGGTGTTGTGTCTTTTTGCCAGCATCGACCCCTTGCGTGTGTTTTCTTGTTGGCGTTCACCGCGCTGTCTGACCGAGCAATGAAAAAGAAGTCAGTTGTAACGGAAAAAAACATAACCAATTATTGATAATTCAAAGGGTATGAGACGCTGTGAACGCCACCTCAGACTGTCCTAGAGTGTGACGTCAGATGACCTGTCGGAGATCTACCTTCGGGGTGTTGCCATAGATAGAGTCAGTCTACAATGATGGACGTTGAACCCTGACACACAACACAACTATCCGCACTCTTCAGCCTCCCCACAAGAGGTTGAGCCGGTGTGTATCCACACCACACATTCCAAGGAGAACTTGTCAACACGTGAACCTGGTGACATCCGTCTCATATTGGCGTCAGGACAGTGCGTGTGTTTATCGAGTTCTCCGTGGGCTGGTGCTACTTCGTGGGATGACGACCCATTCGAGATATTCCAATAGTTCTAGTAAGCAGCCATATTTCGCGTTGGGTGCAAGATATGTGTAACATGTGCATGTATTCATACCATTGGACGCATGTCAACATGAAAAACGTACACAACCCGTCCGTGTGTGGTACGCCTAGCAATCCTTTTTTGTAGACCCGGGAGAGAAAACATAGGCCTCTTTTTCGTGGCTTGATGAAAATCAAGTTGTATGTGAGGGGGTCAACCTAATTTAAGCCTGAACCCCCTCCCACCCCCTCCGTCCTCTCGAGGACGCGTGGTCCGTGGTCTCACCACTAAGGCATGCAAAACATAAAAGAGTACGCCCCCCCCCCCCTTCGCTGCTGCTGAGAGAACAATGGGCGGGCCTCTTTTCCGCGGCTTCACGAAAATCTTTTCACCCCTATTTGCTCTTTTGAGGTGGTCAACTTCAATTACTTCCTACATCCCCACTTGCGCTGTAGGTATACCGTGGACAAATCCGAGGTGGATGGATGCAACGGCGTCGCTACCCCCAGGTGAGAGTGGAAAGAAAACGGTTTTAGCCACGCGTTCTGTGCAAACAATCAGGAAGAAGACCCGTGGTAATAGAGGTGATTGATTCCTGTTGGTATCTCAATATCTCCATATTCTGACGTGCGAAAACTTCTTTTATCTCTTGCGGGATATGTAGCGATGCTTGCTCTGCCTAGTAAGCCTGATGGTAACAGCGGTGCTGGCTACAGCGTCCGCCTTCTCTGCTGTACTCGGTAGGAGTGAACAGACGAGCGGGGTGAGATTCATCCTCAAGGGGAGGCTGCTTCAAGCACGTGTCCCCTGCTTCTCATCCTTCCATCGGGAAGGAGTTGCTTCTCCCGCGTTTCCCTCTATTCATGAAACCGAATTAATTGGCTTTGACATCCTTGCACTCAGACCCCACAGCATAAATATGGTGCCTCCCCCTCCGCACTTGGTGTCTTGCCTCCACAATGGACCAGCAGAAGTTCCCCCTGAAATATTTGCCGTAGGTTGTACCATAAGACACCACCCACCCTGGACCGAGTTTCAAAGGTCGATTACTCCACGACGAAGAGCATGCCGAGTTCAAATGATACTTTTCCGGAAAGCTCTCGACGAGACGGTTCCAACGCCGCCGTACTCGACACCGTCACTGTTTTTCCTGCCGAGACATGGAGCTTTGAAAATCGGCCCAGGGGGTGTGATATCTTACGTATGCAACCTACGGCAACCTCAGACCCCCCTGCACACCATGTCTCCCGCTTCTCGAAGAGCTGGATTTCTTGCTTTCTTTGTGCAAACCGCAGCAGTTTCCACTGCGGGTTCTCCTGTGATCGATAAAATCCAATCTACTTCCTTGACCAAAGCTGTTATGATTTGGAATATGTATATATATTTTTTGCCTTCTTCTTCGCTTCCCACGGCTATTTTTCGTCAGGTTTTGTCACCTTCAGCGTTGTCTTGTTCCCCCTGTGTCTCCTCTGCTCGCTTGGCTTCCCAGCATTTGTTTAAGTTCGAAGCACTCAGCGGTTCTTATGTTTGAGGTCACTGCAGGCGTGTTGTTCTGTGTATGATAGCATTGTTGGTGTTCGTTTTGTAGCTGCCCTTACCGGTACGGAATGACCGGGGGAATGTCAAGAGCGAAATATTAACTCCTGTTTATTCTGCCGGCAGGGAGGGCGAGCAACAAGGACATCATTCGGTCGAAAGCACTTGTTCATACCTCACGAATGATCGAAGTCTCGCAGAGAGCACAATATGGAGAAGTGAAGGCATGCGCCGCCACGGAAATGATCCCTCTGTGTGGCTCAAGATCGTTGGTCCTCAGCACTTAGGATTGGGAGAGAGCATTGACGGCTGTATGCACACGGGTAGGCGCACCGAGCGATCGAAATGCCCGGGACGATGTAACGAAAAACAAGCGGTACAATAGAAGTGGGGCTCCCTCAGAACAGCGGGGGGGGCGTCAATAACTAACGCCAGTTGATTGACGCCGGTGGCCCTTTAGAGCGCCGGTGAAATTGCTGGGCACAGGCTGAATCACCGAGTCACTCCGTACATTGAATAGCGCCGGTCCCTCTGAATAGCGCAGGTCGATGCGCCCGGCACATACCGGCGTTATTGACGGCGCTCCACTATAGTGCCGGTATGCGCCCGCCAGATTCACCGGGACTACACCGGGCACCCGGGAATGTGTAGTCAGCTAATGAGACAACTTGAACAGGAATGTTCCATCCGCGCCACGCGATTTCACCCATGGCACTTATCCTGAGCGGCGGCACTATTACACCGGGCGCTATTGAGATACCCCCGCTGTATGCATAAAATAAACGGGTACCCCCCTGTGTGTCCCAACATGGTATACCACGGTGCCGCCCCTAACGCCGTGTATCGACTATGCACTGCTATTGTTTTCGTGGCTCACGACACAGTAAGGACGGCGAGAGCACCTGGCTCATCTACATGAACTACTACTTGTTCGACGGAGGCGTCGCCCAGCTGGGGGGGCTGGGGGACCACAAATACGACCTCGAGATCGTCATCGTCGAAATCAACAGACATGTGAGGGTGACCACGTTTTTTGTTTTTTTTTTGGGGGGGCAGGTGTGTGCGTGCGTGTGTTCTTCATTGTTGGCATCGATGATGCCGGCCGGATGCTGACCAATGAACGTACGTCAGTCCCAGTGCAGTTGAAAACAGAAAATGCTTCTATTGGCCGTGATCTGGGACTATCCCGTGAGTGTGTGCTATGTGTCTCCTTGTTGTTGGCATCGATCGTGCTGGACAGCTGGCCATTGAAAACACATCAGTCATCAGTCTCAGTACCGCTACGACAAAGAGGGCCATGCCTGTGTGTCCAGGAGAGAAATAAGGTTACATCCATCCTCTTCGTCGCGTACTTCCTGCTTTGCGCGGATCCCGTGCATCTATGTTGCGGGCGGAGGGCAGAAGGAATCATAAGAAATCTCCTTTTTGCAAGCAAACGAACGCTCGTGGCTTGTACATCCCCCGCGGGTGAACCAAACAAAGCAAAATATGTGATAGATATGCAAGCAGTGGAATTTTTGTCGTCGGCCTGCTGGATATGGCCACGCCTCCGAGTAGCGGTAGCAGCAGCACGTGATCGGTGTGCTTTAGGGCATCAGCACACACGCCACGGTCTATTTAACCCCCCCCAAACACACCGGCGACTACATTAGGTTCGAGCATGGTGAGACATCTTGGCCGCTCATACCGCCGGTCTTTGGAAGGGGAACGGATGGGAAAAATCCGTTGGTGTAGCGAAAAACGTGCTATTATAGATGGGCAATATGCGTTGTTCATTGCGTAAAACGTGCTACACCCCCGAAGCGAGGGCAGCAAGAGGCGTGCCTGTGTTAGGAGCAAGAACCGTGGTTTCTCCGTAATAAGGGGGTGCGCGGATCGGTGGTCAAACGACTCAACGCAAGGGAGCAACCGATGGGCATCTCCTCTCCCAACGTTCCCCTTCAACACC